AGGGAGGTGGCGCGGGGGCCCAGCCCGGGCAGCCGTCGCCGCTCCTCCACCTCTCCCCAGCAGCCTCCCGCCGGCGTGAGGCGTTAAGAGACCGCAAATCCGTCAGTGCCGAACCAGCAAGGGGGGGGGTCCTTCTTGCCTACCTGAGGTTTAGCCAAGCAAGGAGAATGCGGAGCAAACCTGCCCCTCGGATGCATCCGGGAGGAGCAGGAGTAGTAAGTAATCCACGGGATACAACGTGAGGTGCTGTGGGTTTGACAAGAAGCCGTCCCTCTGCTAAGCTCTACTCTAATACGGAGTAACGGATTTTCGGGTTCCTGCAGATTGGGCTTCTGTTTCAGGCAGGAATTAGTTGTGAGAATCTGGCATTCCCTTAACGTGTTTTAAGTTAGATGCTTTTTAACAGAAAATATTCATAGATGACTACCTCGTAACAAACAGCACGGTGGAAGAAAAGTTAGGCTATATTCTATTGCAGTTACCATCTCCAGCACCTGTGTTTTTCCTAAGAGATGGAAAGACACATAACCCAAAAGTAATTCCCAGGAGGTTACTGCTTCTAAGCTGGTTCTTTATGCAAAAATCAGCACCACTTTAACTTAACAGTAAAAAATGTTTGCATCCTCCATTTATTGTTAACATAGTGATGTGGTTCACTCTCTGCATGAGAAGGTGGTAAGGGAAGAGAAGGTTAAGCCATTCGGCCTTCTTAGTAACTCATGATCTGTTTTCTAATTATGCGTCCAACTAATTTATTTTCCATACATCAGAGTTCAATACTGTAATCATGTTTCTTGAAGTGCCACCATTGTAATTGTGGTCATTCTTAAGTTTTTTAAGTGGGGGAAGCTTGTGATCGTTGTTTACAGCATTTCCTCACTTGCGTAACTCAAGCACAGGCCCTTTGTATTTTATGCAACTGTCAGTGGATGGTGAGCAGAAAAGACAAAAGATTTAGTGAAAACAAGGCATATGATTAAACTGGGATTTGCTCATAATTTTGATATTTGATAGCAACTGGATGCTCTAATAGACAGGGAGCCCCTGAAATGTTACACTGCGGAATGCAGATATGTAGGGATATTTTTTTTAAATACTGATACAAAACCTCATTTCAGAGATTTCATCCTTTTCTAAAGCATAGCCCAGGCTCTGCTTTTCATCACGGAGGTTAAAACTCTGAAGGACATTGGGATCACTTGATAACATACCTGCTGAAGGACAGAATTCTAATGCCCTTTCCTATATAGCTTCCATTCTATTTCTTCAAAACAAAGCTGCTTAATGAATTCAGCATATCATTCAAGGCCTCCCCACCTGACTGACTCCTTGGAGGCCTGGCTGTTCCCTGCAGAATTACACAGCACAGGCCACCTGCCTGGGAGTCAAATCAAGGAGAGCATCTCAGCAGGCTTTCTGCCCTGCAGCAAAGGTATATCATGCCAGAAACTTCTTCAGCAGCCACCTTCCTCCCTGTTTTGGCTTTTGTGTCATTGGAAGGGTGGATCCACCATAAGTACTCTGTAGTCCCTTGAAAGCAACATTTGATCTTCAGCACCCGTGCTCAGATGAAGTCTGAAAATGCCTAATTTTTTTCCCATGTCTTCTCCATGACCTATCGGGACCTGCTCATGGATATTCCTGGAGACTGCACAGTCATGCCGGGCTTCTCTTGCATCTGCAAAATTGGCAGAGCTAATCCTAGTGAGCCTGGCCTTTTTTGGTGGGGTATAGTGTCTTCTGTATCAGCTTCTTCTACCTACCCTCACAGAGCTCTTGTCCCAGGGAGTGAGACCTGTTTCCATTTTCTTCCCTTATCTGATGGGGTGCTACAACCAGGAGTGGGTTGCTCAGGAGCAGAAGGGAACATTCAGTATTTCTGGAGAAAAATAGCTTAATTTTGCACAGAATAATTCATTATTTGTTGGCCAATAGAGGGAGAGGCTGATTTGGCTGGGAGGGGAAAGCTATGGGTAGCCCCTGCCCCCCAGACTGCCCTGTGGCGAGTATGTAGACATGGTTAGGGGCAGACACTGGAAGGCATGTTTTCTTTTCCTGAAATTATGTGCTTTAGCTACTTCCCTGTAACGGCAGACAAGGTGCATACTGCTGTGTTGAACATCCTCACCCTGTAGGTGGGCAATGCAAGTTCAGAACCATAGAACTTATTTGAAAAAGCCCATCACTGTGACAAAGCTTCCCTGGATGTAGCTGAATGAGGGTAAACAAGGTGCTGTGGTGGAGTGGGCTAATAGAACTGAAAAGCTTCTGATATCTGCTGGTTTGGATACCCGGGCTGTGCAGCATCTGCTGGCCTTTAGTGACCGCCCACTGGGCCCTCAACACTCACCTGCTGCTGACTTGAGTGGAAGGTGGGCATGCAGCTAACTCCCTCTGAGGGTCTGGGCCAAGTGCATGTTTATCCTTATTAGTGCGTCTATTGACTCTGGTAGTAAGCTGTTTATAACACTTCAAAAGGTTTGGGGGGATTAATTTCCTTCAAGGGGCTGTTGATTTCCCCTAGTGCTTTGATAGGTGGAGGTAAATATGTTTTTGTCTGCAAGTAGCTTGAGGGAGAGAGTTATTCTTACAATGTAAGAGCAGAGGCTGGTTTTAAAGCGGTCTCCCATCAGATGTGAACTGGTGTCTGCAGGAAGAAACCTGCTACACTGGGGAGTATTGCTGAAACTGTAGACCTGTGATGTGCTAAACACAGTTCAAGCATTCGGTGTGCATGGAATCAAATACAGCTCATTTTCATCTGTAGGATGCTTTGCATCAGCTGTATCCCTGCACTTGGAGAAAAGGAAACTGAATTTGCAAAGCGTCCTCTTTTCTGCCGTCGTACAAAGCAAGGCTTCCTCTTTCTAGGGTGTACTCAGTGAGTGCTTTCTGTACTGTCTCAATCATTTTCAAGCCAGTGTCCAAAACCAAAACACGGGGTGCCAGCGTATAATCAAAACACAGTATGATCCAAGCAACGCAGTATAATCAAACTGTGTTTTCCCACTGTGAAGGAGGAAAGGGGAGAGGGACTTGGATCTACTTCTCAGGTGGAGAGCGTAATCAATGTCTCTGTGCAAAGGAAGACAATTTATTTAGATGCTAGAGTCTGAAACCTCATTTTCAGGTTTTAACTTAGGTAAAAGTAGGTTCTTAGCCTTAGTGTAATCACGTCGTCAAAATTAGAGAGATCTCTACTGATAGTTCCTTTCCCTAATTAAAACATTGATCTTCTCCTGCTGTATATGGCTGGGAAAGGGAAGGATTTCAACAGCGCCCAGTCTTTCTCTGACAGACAGTTCAATGTCAGGCAGCTGGAAGAGAAGTAAAACCTTCAATTTAAATGCAAAAGTTTCCATTTAAATTCCAGTGTATAGCTTAAAGATTTCTGGCTCCCGTTGAGTGGCTGACTGGCCATCGCCAGGCAGGTGTGCGCTGAATTCTTCATTAGCCAGAAAACTGCTCCCCAGCCGGAGGCAGCAGGAGTAGCTTGGGGCTGCTCGGAGCATTCGCAGCCCCAGAGAGCTGAACCATGAGGTGTGAGGCAAGTGCGAGAAGCTTCCAGCAGATGTCTCTGCCGTGCAGTGTTGCTTCCCCGGTCCACTTTCGGTGTTTGACAGATACCTGCAGATTCATATAAAGCATATGAACCTTTTGCAATTGTTATCCAAATTCTTGTAAAGGCATCAGTCATGAAAACGGTGCCTCATTTTTCATTACAGTTTATTTAATTGCCTTAACATAGCCATTTCACTGAACCCTCATAAAATCATTCTGAGGTTAACAATGAAATTACTATTTCCCCTTTCATGAATACAGTTGCAGTGATAACAGCATAACATAACCCAGTAGATGTCCAGGACAAATGGTCTGGAAGAGAAATGAGATTTTCACAGGTGTCTCTCCCACTTTTCTATTTGAATTTCAGTTGGTCTGCATGCTGATACAGCTTGCTGTGGTGTGAAAAAAAAAATATAAAAATCAGAGACCTTTCATTGAAGAGACAAAGCAGGTTTGGCACTTACTGGTCTGGTAACTGAGAGTTTCTCTTCCCGCTTCACCAAAGTGCCATTTTGGGTAGGTTTTGCAAGGCCAACAGCTGAATGGCAGTTGTGAGATTGGCTGAATTCTCCCCAGCCACCGGCAGCCTGGGTTAGTGGGGCTGAATTGTGTCTTGGCTTGGATTTGTGCTGATGTCTGGACCACATCATCCACCTTCTGCTCATCTCGAGTGTCCTGTGTGGAGGCAGGGAGAACGATACCGCAGTAACTCCGGGGGTGACAGGAAGACTGATTGCTTGTACAACCATTTGGTGACAGCAAGGTGCTGCAAAGTGCAACCGAGAGCACAAGGAGGATGATATGGCTGGGAGTCTCCTCATCTGCATGAATCATGATAGTGATAATGATAATGAACAAGAGTCCCAGCAGTCTCCCAGGAGGCCATTTTCTCATTCACGTTGTTGCTGTGTATATGAAATCCATACAGATGTCAGTCAGGCTTGTCAATTTTATCTATTAGGAATGACAACAAAAGGTTAAACAGAGGAATGCGCGCAAATACAGCTGCCTTAACAGCAAGCTCCCCAGGCAAAGGAGAAGAGGTTTTGCAATATGTGTGGATAGAGAAGTCCTGCTTTTCTTCTTGTGGGGTACTGAGGCTAAAGTCTCAGAATATCTGTTTTACGATTATTCTTTTCCTGCAAGTATCACCTCGAGTACATCAGTGGGTTTGTATGCTGGATAAGAACTTTTGGGCCTTTATAGTGAATCTTTCCACTAACACAGAAGATCTATTTCAATTATCCCTTATAAATAGTGTTATGGTACTCCAGGAGTAACTGTGCCATGCCTATTTTCATAGAAGAGCTAGTCCCTGACCCAAATTATTTCTAATCCAAGTATACAGGAGAAATAATAGGTAAGAGAATGTATTATTCCCCTTTACACAGTGTGAAGCTGAGGAACACAGAAATTCAGTGACTCAAGAACAAACAACAAACCTGGAGGCCAAACACAGTTTGAAGCAAGATGTCTCAAAAAACATTCCAGAGAGCTCATGACAACATCAGCCTTCTTCCATTCTTTTAAGGAAAGGAGTCTGTAGTAAGAGGGGTCAGCAAAAATCTGATGGAAGAGAAGTGTCCTCATTTATAATTGCTGCTTGGGCAAAGTATTAGTGGCATTTCCTAAT